CAGTTGATAGAGCGAGGGCAGACGAGGTCCCTGTCCAAGTGGTGGGGATGGTCGGGCTCTGCATGTGAGGAAGCACATTCGTTCATAGGAACAGGAGTGGAAGCAGACCATATGTGTTCATGAGGGAGCTTGGGGGTGGCTGGGAGCATGTGGAGGTTCTCTTCTGATTGCTTCTCATCAGCTAAAGAAGCAAGGACAGGGGCACTTGGGTGGCTCAGATGGTTAAGTGTCTGCCTTCTGCTCAGGTCATGATCTCAGGGTCCTAGAACTGAGTCCCACGTCGGGCTCCCTGCTCAGGGGGGAGCCTGCTTCTCCCTCTGCCTCTGCCTCTCCCTCTCCCACCTCTGCTCATGCTCGCTCTCTCTCTCAAATGAATAAATAAAATTAAAAAAAAAAAAAAAGAAGAAGCAAGGACAATGGCTGAAAGGGAGGAGGGGACAGTGGGGGGGAGAGACCTGATCAGAGGGAGGGTGTGGAATGGTCCCTGAGGAGAGTGGGAGAGAGTGAGCCAGGGAAATATTTAGGGTTCTTTTTTTTTTTTTTTAAGATTTTATTTATTTGACAGAGAGAGAGAGATCACAAGTAGGCAGAGCGCAGGCAGAGGGAGTCCCTGACTGAGCCACCCAGGTGCCCCAATATTTAGGGTTCTTGGGCAGAACCAAGGGCTCTGATATTAGTGCTCAGAGGGTGATGGTTAGATGGATTCGAAGTGAGACCAGAACACAGTTGTGTATTTTTCACCAGTGATATTAATTTGCCTCGTTTCAGGTATGGAATGGGCACAGATTTGTATTTAACCAGAATTTAGGTTTAACAAGGTGAACACAGAGGGAGAGAGAAGACCCAGGCAGTTAAGGATGGATGTGAAGGAGTGATTTCAGTGATGGATTGTGAGCACGAAACTGGGGAAGGAGAGGCATGAGGCCCCAAGGAGGTGAAGGACAGTAAAATGGCGGCATAGTCCATGATGTGGTCCCAACCGAGAAGGGACACTTAGGGGGTGAGCTGGAAAGATACGAGATAGTGGTTGGGAAGTGGGATGCTTGATATGTAGGCTGCAGAACAAATGCAGTTATTGGAAATATCTAGGTATGGGGCCATGATTCTCCCTCTCAACTATACACTAGGCAGAGTGTTTTAAAAATCTGATGCTTGGGATAGAGATTGGACATCAGTTTTGTTTTGTTTTGTTTTGTTTTTTTAAGTTTCCCAGGTGATTCTAATATGCAGGTGGAGTTGAGAGCTCTTGGTCTAGGACGGGGTAGCTGAGATGGGGTGGAGAACAAGGTCTTTGGAGGAAAGGAGGTCAAGGAACAGAGAGGCCAGGGTCATTTTCAGTACTCACATCAAGAATTATGCCAGGAGTTGTATTTGAAGGCAATGTGATCAAATCTCCACAGAATGAGGAGGTGACCTCAGGGATCCGGGATGACTGTAATAAGGAGACGTAGCTGTACTATCATTCGATGGTGTGAGCTTCAAAAGATCTTAAGGTTTTTGAGGATGGAGGGCGGGACAGTGGTCTGGAGATGACAGTGAAGCACAAGGGGGATCCTACGCACCTCCGACTCAGAGGTGTCAGGGCGATGGGGTAAGGGAAGCAGGGTGCTCAGGGAAAGGCCAGGCCTTAATTAAAGCAACCACTCCAATTTCCTGAAGATTCTTAAAACTGTATTCTTCCATTCTGTGCCTAAGCTCCAGATTTATCTAACCCAGATATGCCCCTCATGGATGCTCTGGGCCTGCCCCAAATATAGTAAAATCCAAACTGAACCTATCATTCCTCTAGTACCTGCTTTTCCTCCTGTGTTCCCTACTTCGGTTTATTCCACCATCATCCACCAGGTCAGCTAACCCAGAATCTCTGTCATTTTGAATCTTCTATTTTCCCTTCTTACCCTCCCACATGTGGTCATCCAGTGCTGTCCATTTTACCTCACATGGGTATCTCCTCTCCACCTCTGCGGTCCCTGCTTTAGTTCATGACATTTCGCATCCTCTCTCACCTGTACTTCATGCCTTTCATATTGCCTCTCTTCAATCCTTCCCCTACAAGGTTCCTGGAGGGCGCTGTCGGTTAAGCATCCCACTCTTGGTTTTGGCTCAGGTCGTGATCTCAGGGTCGCAAGACAGCCCCACAACGGGCTCTGCCTTTCCTGTGGAGTCTGCTTGAGACTCTCTGTCCCTCTCCCTCTGCCCCTCCCTCCCTTCACTCTCTCTCCCTCAAATAAATAAATAAATCTTTGGAAAAAAATTAAAAAGAAAAATCCTTCCCCTGTACTGTCTTCTGAGGGATCTTTTAAAACTCAATCTGACCATGTACTTCCCCTCCTTAAAATTCTAGCTGCTTACAGAATAAAGTCCAAGTTCCTGAACATGTCAGAATCATGAGGGCAGGATTTTTATCTTTTCTGTTCACTGCTGTATCCCCAGGGCCTAGAACATAGCCTGACATTTAGTAGATGCTCAGTATAAATTTGTTGAATAAATGATTGACCATGACCCTCACAGTCTGGTTCTTGCCCCTTCCGCAGCCTCATTTCTCATCCCCCCCTCCCCTCTGCTTTATATTCTGTTTTCTTATTTACCTCTATGCCTAAGTGTGCGTTATTTCTCTGTCTGAGATACCTTTGTCTGTCTTGAACTCCTGGTGAACTCCTATTCATCCTTTAAAACCTTGCTCAAAGATCACCTCTCCTGTGAAATCTTCTCTGAACTCCTAGAGTGAATTCATTACTTTCTTGTCTATGCTTCTTCATCACTTTGAACTTTGCACGTGTTACATTATATTGTGTGAAGTTGTTTACATGTCTTTCTTTCCTGCCAGACTTAACTTCTTGAGGGAAGAAATGGGTGTCTTGGTAAAGGTGGACCTTATTAAGAGTGTCTGGCATGTAGTAGGCATTTAAATGAATGGTTGTATTGGTGAGATCAGATCATGAGAGAGGAAGGAAAGTGTTGTGGTAATTCTTACTTTTCTGATGGAGATAGAATTAACAGTTGGTTTTTCCGGGGATCAATGCTGGGCGCATTTGACTTAATGTTTTTGTAGATAATTGAGAAGAGATAAAGTCTAATGCCAGGCTGGTGGGGCTAGATGGCAGGAAGATTCCACAACACCAGAGGAGTGAGCAGGAAACTAGATCTCAGTCCCAGTGTGCTCAGTGACAAAATATTCCAACATACGTATGTAGTGATGAGCCAAGAGCTGCTGCTTTATTGTAGGAAACAGGCTTTGGAGTCACTATAGATGATGCAGAATGTTAGGCATTATCAGGCTGGGAACTTGAAACCAGAGAAAATAATCTCCACCCTTGGGTTGGTTTGTGTTGGGAATGATGTTGGGTTCTCACTTGGGATTCGGCTTGCCATACTTTTGGCAGCACCTCCGAAAAGATAAAGCCCAGGTAGGTATCCTGGGAAGGTCCCAGAGAAAAGGAGTTACTACAGTGTTGAGAAAAACCACAGAGCCTGGGGCTGCTTCATCGGTAAAGAAACACCAAGGAGAGGATGATGGTGACAAAAATGGCTGATATTCATGAGCTCTTACCATGTGCGAGGTGCTGTGCTGTAGGTATTACTTCACTTCATTCTTACCACAATCCTTTAAGGGGGAAACTGTTATCATCCCTATTTTACAGATGAGAAAAGTGAGGCACAGAGAAGTCAAGAGAGATGTCCAAAGTCATACGGCTGGTAAATGGTGGAGCAGGGCCTTGAACTCAGATTTCAATGCCTGGAAAGCTTGAGTCACTAGTGCCTTCCTGTATGATGTGATATGACCAAAGTCTATAAAATCCTGAAGGCTGTGCATAGAGGGGACACATCTTGGAATGCTGCAATGAGGGTAACTTGGGAAACTTGAACAGTTTTTGTATATGGGGGGGATAATCGTGTTGTCACCTTAATGGTTGTACAAGCAAGGTGGGAAAAAAACCAAAGAGTTGGAAAAAGATTTAAGTGAATTCCTGGATGTTTGAGGATTTCAGATCTATAGAGTTAATACGAATTCCGGTTGAGGGTGTGCATCACAGTACACATCTTCTTTTTTTTGTTTTTGTTTTTTTTCTATTCTTCTTCTTCTTCTTTTTCTTTTTTTTCACAGTACACATCTTCTGCACATGCCTGGAAGCTCTTCTTAGGCACTCCTGTCATAGAAAGGATAGATCCTGATCCAGGGGTCTGATTCATCATAACAGAGGGTTCCAAACTTTTGAGGGTCATGAAATCAATTCAGGAGGTCAGTTCAAGCTGCCACAGCAGAAATACCACAGATTGAGTGGCTTAAACAACAGAGATTTATTTTCTCACAGTTCTGGAGGCTCAGAGTCCAAGGTCAAGGTGCTGGTAGGGTTGTTTTCTTCCTGGCTCGCGACCTACTACCTTCTTCCTGGTCCTCACATGGCCTTTCGTCTGTGCATGAACAGAGAGAGAATGAGACCTCTGGTGTCTCTTCCTCGGATTATAAGGACACCGGTCCTATCGGATTAGGGCTCTACCCTTATGACCTCATTTAACCTTAATTTACCTCCCTATCTCCAAAAATAGTCACACTGGAGGTTAGGACTTCGATGTATGAATTTTGGGGGGATGCAATTCAGTCTGTAACAGGGTCTCCATCAGCACTGCCTTAAAATGAAATCAGAGACAATAGACACTGTCAGAGTGAGTGTTGTTTTGGGAAGCTTTTCCAGTTATCCCCTTGAAGACATGTGAATTCTGAGGTTGTGATGTAAGCTGTGTCTCTAACTGCGAGCCATAGAGAAGTTTAGAAGCCAGGACCATATGTCATTCCTTGCAGCCTTATATCAGAAGCCCACTTTACCCTCTGGCTGATTGGGAGCCAGACAGAGACTTGGAATTTGTAGTGTCTTGCCCTTAGCTGGTGGTAAAGTTGATGTCCTCCCTCTGGGTCCGGGCTGGCAGAATTCCCCAGGTCCCGATCACCTGTCGGAAGGTGGCCAGTGTCACTGATGCTTACAACCCATTTGGTTCCCCAGGTGACGTGCTGGTGGTCCCCATCAAGCTCCACAAGTGTCCTTTTTGTCCTTACACTGCCAAACAGAAGGGCATCCTTAAGCGGCATATCCGCTCGCACACGGGTGAGCGGCCCTACCCCTGTGAGACCTGTGGTAAGAGGTTCACGCGACAGGAGCATCTGCGGAGTCACGCCCTGAGCGTAAGTGTCTGGGCTGGAAAATCTCCTGTGGTGAGGGTGGAGGGGACGGAGGGGAGGGGGCTCCTGACATTTGTCTAATGCAAGGGTGAACCAGCCTGCCTTTTACTTCTCTGTCCCCTGGAGCATTTTCAGAGAATTGTAAACATGTGTTTCTACTAAATTAAAGCTGGGTTGGTGGCACTTAGAGAAAGTTAAAACTTATATAAGAGACTAGTTTTCTTAGACTCAAGAAAGTTTGTTTTTTAGCTTTTTTTTTTTTTAGATTTTATTTATGTGACAAAATAATCCAACATACGTATGTAGTGATGAGCCAAGAGCTCGAGAGCACGAGAGAGAGAGCACGAGAGAGCACAAGCAGGGGCAGCTGCAGAGGGAGAGAGAGAGAAGCAGGATCCCCACTGAGCAGGGAGCCCGATGTGGGGCTCGATCCGAGAACCCTAGGATCATGACCTGAGCCGAAGGCAGCTGCTTAACTGACTGAGCCACCCAGGCGCCCCCAACTCAAGAAAGTTTAGATCCTGGTCAGGGATGGTTGTCATAAGGCAGAGAACAATGGGGTGTGGACAGGGGATTGTGGGTGTGTTCTCACCGGTGTGATGCCAGAGGTGAGAAAAGTGCATCCTCAGTTTTCCACCCAACCCCAGTACCTGGATGTGGGAAAAGTGTGTGCCACCCTTTCCAAGGCTACCTGTGGGCAGCAAAGAGGACTTCAGACCCAGGGGACCTCCCCTCCCACTGGCTTCCCCCTGGGATTCTGTCTCCCATGTGAGTGGTTAATTCCCACCAGCTAACAGGTGTTCAGGCCATTTAGGAAGGCATTGTATTTAAGATCATCTTTGAGCAAGGCAATCAGTCTTTAGAAAATCAAACATAAAAATGGTTTGGACTTCAGAGGATACTATCAAGAATGTGAGAACCCACAGAATGGGAGAAAATACTAGTGAATCATTTATCTGCTAAGGATCTAGTAACCAGAATATATGAAGAACTCTTTCAGTTCAACAATAAAAGACAAATAACCAAATTAAACAACGGATGTGAATAGACATTTCTCCAAAGAAGATACACAATGTCCAATAAGAACATGAAAAGATGCTCATCATCACTAGTCATTGGGAAAATGCAGATCAAAGCCACAGTGAGATACCACTTCAGACTCACTAGGATTGTTATCACCAAAAAGCAAGTAATAACAAAGTGTTGGCAAGGATGTGGTGGAATTAGAACATTCATACACTGCTGGTGGGAATATAAAATGGTGCAGCCACTGTGGAAAACAATCTGGTTGTTCTTCAAAAAGTTAAGCATAAAGTTACCATAGACTGCAGCAATTCTATATCTAAGTATATATCCAAGAGAACTGAAAACATACATTCGCACAAAAACACATCTGCACACAAAGGTTCATTGCAGCATTATTCCCATAGCCAAAAAGTGGAAACAACCCAAGTGTCCATCAACTGACGCATGAATAAACAAATTGTGGCCTATCCATACCATGGACCCTTATTAAGCCATAACATGGAATGCAGTTCTGATACATGCTACAACATGGATGAACCTTAAAAGCATTACACCACGTGAAAGCAGCCGGTCACAAAAGGCCACATCTTGTATGATTTCCTTGATATGAAATACGTAAGATTGGCAGACCCATGGAGATAGAGTAGATCAGTGGTTACCAGGGGCTAAGAGGCTGGCAAATGGGAGAGGGGTGGCCGTTAATAGGCACCTGATTTCTTTCTGGGGTGATGAAAATGTTCTGGAACTAGATGGTGGTGATAGTTGCACAACCTGGTGAATATACTAAAAACCACTAAATTATACGCTTGCTTTTATTTATTTATTTATTTATTTATTTATTTATTTATTTATTTAGTATTCATTTATTTGAGAGAGAGAGAATGAGAGGCAGAGAACACGAAAGGAGGAGGGTCAGAGGGAGAAGCAGACCCCCCGCCGAGCAGGGAGCCCGATGCGGGACTCGATCCCGGGACTCCAGGATCATGACCGGAGCCGAAGGCAGTCGCTTAACCAACTGAGCCACCCAGGCGCCCAAATTGTATGCTTTTAAAAGGTGAATTTTGTGGTATGTGAATTGTGGTTTTGAAAGAATCCAGATTTAAGTTAAGTACAAGGTTACTGGCCGTCTCCACTCTCAGGGCTGGCCCCAGCACCCCTGAGAATGGCCTCTTCCCATAGCCTCAAGTTTTTGTCTGTCTTTTTTTTCCCCCCAAATTATATCTCCAGTCTGTCTTGGCAGCAGTAGGTTCCTGGTGCCCTGAAGATAGTTTACTGGTTGGAATCCTTATTCCCTCTATCTTTCCATGTTATACAAGGTCAAGTCCACTGCAGCCCCAAGAGGTGGTTTTCAAAGGCCCTGTCAGGTTGCAAAGGTCATGGACATAGCCAGGTTGGCTAGGGGTTGGGGTTTAGTGTAGAAAGCCTAGGAGACCCCCTGGAAGGCATTTGGCCAGGATGTAGTGGCAGCTCCAGTGAGCTGGGTGTTGTGTTATTGGCTTTTGTCCTCTGTCATTTCTCTCTGTCTCTACCTCTTGTGTGCATCCTGCATCCAGAGGTCTCCACAGGAGAGGCTTTGGTTCGCAGACCCCTCTAGGCTGGAGCTCCTGAAGAGTGCACACATTAGATAGATCCGTATGCAGAGGGGGCCCCTGGGGCTGCTGCCCTAAGGAGGAACTGCGCGGGGTAGGAGATCAGGTTCTTTTTTCTAGTTTGCAAAGTGCTTCTCAGAGGTAAGGAAAGCATTTATCAAAAAAGAGATAAGGACGGAGAAAATACCATCTAGGAAGTCAGCCTCCCTAATAACTGGACAATCCCAGGTACATAAAAAGCCACACCTAAAATCCTCAAGCGTTCCCTGCATGCCCTTTATATGCCAGGCATAGAGTTATAGTAACAAATGTGACAGAGAACATGAATGAGGATGGCCCCTGTCTTCTTGGAGCTTATTATCATCTAGGGAATTTACTAACCATTTGTTAGAAATTCAGCAAAGGGGCGTGGGGGGCGCCTGGGTGGCTCGGTGGGTTAAGTGACCGGCTCTTGGTTCGGCTCAGGTCATGATCTCAGGGTTGTGGGATTGAGCCCCGAGTGGGGTTCTGTGCTCAGCACGGAGTCTCCGTGAGATTCTCTCTCTTCTTCTACCTCTGCCCCTCCCCCTGCTCACTCTAAATAAATAAATAAATAAATAAATAAATAAATAAATAAATAAATAAATAAATAAAATCTTTTTAAAAATTCAACAAAGGGAGGAGGATAGGCGAGAATGTGGGGACCTAAGCTGGTCCAGAGCGTCAGTGAAGACGGCCGTCAGAGGCATATTAATAGCCGGGCAAGAGGCTTGGCGGCGGGGAGGTGGCACGTTCCTCACCTGCCCGATGGCCTTGGGGCGGAAGCACCTTGGTGAGGCGGAGGCTGTGGTGGAGGCGGGGGGGCGGCGTTTACTGTGTCCGCGTGTGATTTCAGGTGCACAGATCCAACCGTCCAATCATCTGCAAGGGCTGCAGAAGAACCTTCATGAGTCACCTGTCCCAGGGCCTGCGGCGCTTCGGGCTGTGTGACAACTGCACGTGTGTTACCGACACACACGATGAGGAGGACGAGCTGATGCCCATCAACCTTAGCCTGGTGGAGGCTTCGTCGGAAAGCCAAGAAAAGAGTGACACGGACAATGACTGGCCAATCTACGTGGAGTCTGGTGAGGAAAACGACCCCGCCGGAGAGGATTCTGATGACAGACGGCAAATTCGGCCCTACTTGTCAGATCGAGAGACACTTACGTAGCAGTAAATTTTGGTGGGGGAGAGGTTTTAGAATTGGTTGTTGCTTATTCTGCATTCGAAAGCCGCCATTTGTCCAATTTTGTGGGACCCAGAGGGGAGCATTTTTTTCGCTGTTCCTCTACTTGCATTTTTGTTAGATTACATAGCGAAGGTTGGATCTTGTGAGTCGAAGGACTAATGACTGCTTAGTGGAATGCCCTTGGTTTCAAAGGGCTTTGCTGAGTTAATTCTGAGGGAGTCAAGGCTGGCCCCAAGGCTCCCCATTCTTCCTGTCGTGCACCCAGACTCTGGTTAGGAGAGAGATAAGAAAATCTCCATGCTTGTTTTCATATTGTCTCACTCATCTACATTCCTTTCTTGTCAGCCTTTTTCTCTGTAAAGGTGGGCAAGAATAGCTTGAGACCAGTCTCTCTTTTGCCAAGCCTCTCCTAATGGATTCCATATTTTAGTTTTCTGGTGAAGTCTTAAAGAGAAAGCTTCATGACATTAGGTAGGCAGGGATGTTCGGCTACATGATCGTAAAGGTACTTTTTAACTCTAAGGCTGCAATTTTAATGGCTGGGAGTATTTATGTGCACACAAACATGGAAATGAGCTGAGAGGCTCCTGGGGTACTCTGACTTGCCCAGCTGTATTAAACTTTGTTAGCCCTGGGAAGGGAGCCTGTGAGCCCAGGTCTGGGCGGTTTCCCTGTCTCATTTGGTATTTAACAATTCTACACACACAGATCACCTGTTTTGTGATCATAAAACAAGTCATTTGGGCGAAATTCAAAATACTCCTGCTTTTTCCAGCCATTTTCCAGAGTCACTGTTGTGGAGCATGGAAATATGGCCACTGCTGAGTTTTCTACTTTGATTATGAATAGAGCTTTAATTGGAGGGAAAGTGCAAGCCTATATAAACAAGTTATATTTCTAAATTGTTTACCCTCTGGAGGGAAAGAGAAGGTTGGTAGAAGAACAGGTTTTTAAAACCATTCTGCTTTTCACCCACTTTGCAGCCATGTGGTTACTCTAACAGAAGAGGCTATACTTCTTTAAAAGACCGAAGAGCAGGAAATATTAAGGATTAAAGATATTTAAGGCACTTTCATAATTTTGTCTCATGTTAAAGTATCCAAAATGGGCTTTGAAGGAAATCACTTTTTCTTCCTTTGAGTATAGTTGTGTTTCAAAAGGTGGCAAAACCACCTTTCTTTCTGCCTCCTGAACAAAAAAGCCAATAAAAAACATTATAAATTGGCTTGTGAGTGTTAGTCGTTGAAGAGTTCAAAAGGTGTTTAAACCATACTTCTCAATAGAAGTGAGAACTCCAGAATAGTGTTAGTCAAACTGTGACCCCCAGACAGCTGGCCTGTGAATTCTTTGATACCAATCCACACAGTAGGACCACCTGTTGGCCTGCAGTAGATTAGAAATTTTAAAAATGGTCTTTTGCCACAGATAGTTTGAAAATTATTGTTTTAGATCAAGATTAACAAACCGGAAATTATCAAGGACCAGAAACACTTTTCATTCCTGAAATGGAAATATTAGCTGTTCTTTTCAAGGAGGGATCTTAGCAAAAAGGAAATCTAACTGGTTGTGTAGAAGGTGTGCTTTGCAAGGAGTTTTGTTTGATATTTTTGCTCTGTTTAAATTATTTCTAGTGGTTTTTTAAAATTTTATTTTTAAGTAATCTTCACACCCAACATGGGGCTCGAACCCACAACCCTGAGATCAAGGATAGCATGCTCCACTGACTGAGCCAGCCAGGTGCCCCATTTCTAGTGTTTTAATGTGACTTTTCTACCTCACAGTTCAACTTCTCTGCCCGCTTTCTCTGAGAGCAAAGATCCTCCTCAGTGACTCTATGACCTGATCATATCCCTGGGTGCAAAGTAAATTTACATTAGCAATTCCACTGTAAGACAGTGAATTTTACCTGGGGGTGATTTTGTCCCCCAGAGGACATTTGGCAATGTCTGGAGACAGTCTCAATTGTTACAACTCAGGGCAGGGGGCTGCTGGCGTCTGGATAAGGTTGCTGCTAAACATCCTACAATGCATAGGACGGCCCCTTAGAACAAAGAATTATCTAGTCCAAAATGTCAAGTGTATCAAGGTTGAGAAACCTGACCATAACATAAAGTGAGATTTAAAAAAAATTTTTTTTTAAAGATTTTATTTATTTATTTGACAGAGAGAGACACAGAGAGGGGACACAAGCAGGGGAAGTGGGAGAGGGAGAAGCAGGCTTCCCGCTGAGCAGGGAGCCCAATGCAGGGCTTGATCCCAGGACCCTGGGATCATGACCCGAGCCGAAGGCAGATGCTCAACAACTGAGCCACCCAGGCGCCCCTAAAGTAAGATTTTTTTAAATGACCTTTAATGAGTGAGCTTAATTTTGTGTTATATTTTAGGTTACCTTTTACCTTCATAATATTTAGTAGGCCCTTATGCTCCCATTTCCAAGGTTTGGAAAATAGTGGAATTAGTAAAATGGGGAGCTGAGGCCAAATTGTTCATAACTTGCCCAAGCTCTGACTTGGTCTGTGATGTGGAAACTTAGAAATTCTGATCTCATACTCCTAGAATGATTACTAGGCTCTGGTCATTCTATTACATTTTAAAGTAGCAAAATCATGGGAGGAAAATGGAACATGAAGCTTAATATTTAAATGATTCTTTTTTCCGTAATGTCTCCGATTGTTGCCTTCCTGGTTGGCTGTTTTGAGTTTGGGTGTTGACATTAGTACTAACTGGATTGCTGAATTCTATCACTTTTAATGGAAATAATGACTTTGTTTGGACTATTAGATCGTAAACTGTCCTCTGTTTTAAATTTATGTTCACATTTGGTGGTCAGTATTTATAACTGCACAGTGCCTGAGGTTTAATTAATGGAGTTGGTGATATTTTTATAAGTAAATTCATCGTTGGGCCCAACACAGACCGTTAAGGACTCATTTTATATCTGGCATCTTTCTGGCACTTTCAATCCAAGTTCACAAAGGGATTCTTTGTCTTACATTAGATACGTTGCATGGGCAGGAACAGAATTCTTACTTGTAATGGAATTTTAAAATGGCATCCCTGGGAAGTTGTTTCTCTTGGGGGAAGGGGACATGCTTTCATAGCAAGGGTTGGAAAGGAATGTAAATAAGGCCTGTATCTGTAATAGACTAAGAAATGACATAGAGCAACATGACTGCTGGTCATTTGACAGATAGATGCCATTTTGATGTAAATATTTTGGTGGTCGCTACCTGGTGGTCTGCAAAATGTGAAATTGAGTATTCTGGAGCTTCAGAATACGTGATGGGTTTTTATTGTCGTTCATCGATGTTGTGAACAAAGCCACACGTTGGCTGCATGTGCTGATTCTGAGGGCAGTGGGAAGACTGGAGTGGCCTGTGGTCATCTGAGTTCAGACTGCTTCATTGGATTGAGAAGTTTGGCTTGTGTGTCTCTTGTGCATTGACGATAGAATTACCTCTGTGAAGTCTAGTGTTAACAGGGTGGGGAGGGGCAGAGGGTTGGGTGTGAAGTTTCTACTGCACTCTCTTTTGAGCTTTACCACGGTCCTTCCTGTTGCTGTTGGTCTCTTGTAGCTTGCCTTGTGCTTTCGTGCTGTCTTCCAGCTCCAAAGAGGGCCCTTTATTCAGTCGCTTGTGATGGGCAGCGTTTTCGTGGGTTTTTGTTCAGGATTTCTGCTAAATATTGCTATGCTCCTCAAACCTTTCATTCTAGTGCGGACAATGGAATTCTTTTCATCAGAGAATGCTTCTGTAGAGAGAAATGAAAAGTGTTTTGTTTGGCAGGAGTAGTTCGGTTGTTTTCCAACGTGCCCCTGGTTTTAAAAGGTGACACTAACTCACACCATTGCGATCAGATGATATGGGACCTTCATAACTGGAGGACTTCCAGCATCTGTTCTGACCCCCGGGGAGATTATTTCGCTACCCCCAATTCTTCATTGACAATTGTGGTTTGGGGGAATGATTTTTATATCCATCGTTTGACTTTTGGATATTTGTCAGTAGCATATTAAAAACCAGGGTGGTTAGGGTGGGATTACGTGCTTGGTGGGAGAAGGCTTAGTAGGAACAAGCTTGGGGATTTTAAGGAAGGCGTCAACTGGAGCTATATGTCTTGGTGACACATAATGGAGATGGATTGTCTGTCATGCAGACAGTGACAGGTGTGATCATGATTTTGGAGGAAGCAGAAAACCATGCCAGACAGTTTCACATCTCTCATCGTCCCTGTGGAGCATCTAAACAAAACAAAACACGAAGCTGATAGTACCACAGTGGTCTACTTAGGCTCAACTGAGCATTTAGAAACATTCACACTCATGAACTGCCACCCTCGGCCTCAAAGGCACTTAGAAGGATACAGGACAGGAAGTGCCGCTCGCCAGGAGGGCAGAACCAGATGTCGCTCTTCTGTCGGAGTCCCCAAAACTGTCCGTGTGTCATAACCTAGGTGCAAGGAGACAGACCCACATCAGACAAGTATGGAAGCTATCCTGGCTTAAAAGCCTCTTGTCTCATGGGAGCAAGTGTCCATTATAACAACCCTGTAGACATAGTTTCCAGGGTCCCTGCAAGAGATACGTCCGTTCCAAGGGTCACTGTACCTGTGGCTTCCTATCAGGTAGACTTAGAATTCTCCCAGTCTGGATGCAGTTTACCAACTAGGGATCCTTTTTTTCCACGTGTAATGATGCCAGCAACATAGCTGATACGCTGTTCTTTATTAGGTTGCCGGGGGAACAGAGCTAGAAAGTTAACCGAAGGTCAAATTCTCCTGTGGAAGGAGTAAAAGGTTCTCTTGATCCATTACCAAACAGTATGCTGAGCAATTGCACAACGGATACCCCACCTCGTTCCTAGAAGATGTAGCCAGAGGAATTTCCTCCTAAAATAGAGCCAACACCAACTCATCTTCCTCTCTTGAAGAGTGTTCGTTCTTTGTGTTTAGCTGCTTCTGGTTCATACACTGTGGGCAGATTCTGCTGAGGTGTGTGTAAGAATTGGATAAATAGTCAAAGCGGTCCCACCAAAATGTCATACATCCTGTAATAGGATCCATCCTATCATAGGATCCATCCTATCATAGGCAGGCATCGTATGACATGCTACAAGGACACTGTTGGATGGAAATTTGTGGGGATTCCATCAAATCACACATTGATGGGAACCTATGTTCTCCTGCCAGCCCCCGAACACAGGCTGTGGGTGGAGAGGTCTCTTACTGCTCTCACGTGGTGCCACTCTTGCTTTGCTTCTGTTGCTCTTGGAAGATCAGCAAGTGGATATAGCTGGCTGTCTACCCAACAGTTATTTATGGAGTCCTTCCTAGGTGTCAGGCCCTAGGGGTACATCAGGGAACAAGCAAAATCCCTGCCCTCGAGGAATTTGCAGTGAGTGAAGAGGGAGACTAGCAGTTAAGCAGTTACAACACAGGTTTGGGTGTGACAGTGGGCAAGGATGAGAAGGGTGTGCTGAGATGCTTGGGTAGAGCACTGAGCCCAGTCTCAAAGCCTCCAAGAAGGCTCTCTTGTCTAAGCTACTGTTACCGTGGTCCTTCCCATCCAGTAAACTTCTATTTATCTTGGGATATAATTTACAAGCAGTTTAAATAGTTTCTGACTTTTCCTGCCTTTTCCAAACATGGTGGCTTTAGACATTAACAATGTTTAAATGACCTATTTTATTCAGGGATGTAAAAATATTATAAGCATTTCAGAATATCCTAGTCTTTAGGAAAAAAAAATGCATCGGATGCTATGGTTTTCTTATTAAAACACCACCACCACCACCACCACCAAATAACTTTGCATGATCTTGATCCAGTGTGATAAGATAGAACAAGGTATTTTTTACTGTGACAGATGTGGAGGAGCCCCAGTGCCTCTGGATTGAGTCTTGGCTGGCCATGTAAGTGAGTTAATACCCCAGAAACCAGATAGATAGGGAACAGAACCCATACAATCAAATAATTTGAGAAATAGAAGGGACTTTAAAGATAGTCTACTCCAACTCTATTTTACAGAGATGAAATGACTAGTTCCTGGTTCCCCCACAGCTGGGTAGGGTCAGAAACCAGTTCCTGCCAGGCCAGTGTTGATAATAAACATGTTGGGGCAGGCAGCAAAGACCATCCATAGCTAGCATTAGTTTCCTTGAGTATCCATCAGACTGAAATCACAGAAGACGAAAATGCTGTTTCAGTCTCATGTGACTTTATGTGATCGTGGCCTGCATTCTTGTAGTGCTTAGACAGGGAGGGGGAAATCACATGTGGAGAATGGGGGAGTTAATTTAATTTAATTTCTTTTTTTTTTTTTAAAGATTTTATTTATTTATCTGAGAGAGAGAGTGAGAGAGAGAAAGAGCACAAGAGGGGGGAGCGGGAGAGGGAGAAGCAGACTCCCTGCCGAGCAGGGAGCCCGATGCGGGACTCGATCCAGGGACTCCAGGATCATGACCTGAGCCAAAGGCAGTCGCTTAACCAACTGAGCCACCCAGGCGCCCTAGTTAATTTAATTTCTTTGCCTGTAATACCCACACATGTCTGAACAACATAAACCACCATCAACACACACACACACAGCAAATCAAAATCTTTATTGCCCACTTATTTAATATGTATTATGTATTTGATTTTAATGTATTTTTGTTTGTAAAAAGTTTCAAAACTAAAATATACACAACATTATCTTGAACTTGCTTTTGCAAACCTCTCTTAAGTGATTTTTGAAATATAAATTGGGCATGAGTCGGGGAAGTTGACAAGGACAATCTTATTTGAAACAAAAACCACATATTTGGGGGCCCCTGGGTGGCTCAGTTGGTTAAGCATCTGCCTTCAGTTCAGGTCATGATCCCGGAGTCCTGGGATCGGGCCCTGCATCGGACTCCCTGCTCAACGAGGTGTCTACTTCTCCCTCTCCCTCTCCGTCTGCCGTTCCCCCTGCTTGTACTCACTCTCCCTCTGTCAAATAAATAAAATCTTAAAAAAAAAAACCCAAACCCCCAAAACCACATATTTTAAATCAGCCGCACAGATAATATATTATGGTATTGAGTGAAAATGTATTCTGGGCATTTCTTGGTTCAGTGGATTTTAATAAACTTACTGCAAAAGCTAATTTTATTTAAAGGTCTGTGATAATATAAAATAGTTATTAGTAAAACAATTAACCACTTTATGATCTAAAAATACTTAGAAGCAGTGATCTTAGTTGTTAATGAAGTATTTATCAAGTTTGGGATTGAAATTAATACAAATCATCTTTAATTTGGTTAAATCAATCTAGGACTAAATAGGAAATAGTCTCAAACTAAAATTTTTTTAGAAGATTTTATTTCTTTATTTGAGAGTGTGAGGACTAGAGAGAGAGAGAGAGCACAAGCAGGGAGGAGGGGTAGAAGGAGTGGGAGAGGCAGACTCCCTGCTGAGCAGGGAGCCTGATGTGGGATTCGATCCCGGGACCCTGGGATCATGCCCTGAGCCTGAGGCTGACGCTTAACTGACCGAGCCACCCAGGCACCCTCAAACTAAATTTTTTAGAAGTGTTTATTCATTTATTTATTAGAGAGAGAGAGAGAGAAAGAGCGCACACGTGAGCTGGGGGAGGAGCAGAGGGAGAGGGACAAGGAGACCGCCTGCCACCAAGTGCAGAGCCCTACATGGGGCTCAATCCCACAACCCTGAAATCATGACCTTAGCCGAAATCAAGAGTTGGTCACTTAACTGACTAAGCCACCCAGGCATCCCTCAAACTAAATTTTTTTTTTTAAAGATTTTATTTACTTATTTAACAGAGTGAGACACAGCGAGAGAAGGAACACAAGCAGGGGGAGTGGGAGAGGGAGAAGCAGACTTCCCGCAGAGCAGGGAGCCTGATGCGGGGCTCAATCCCAGGACCCTGGGATCATGACCTGAGCTGAAGGCAGATGCTCAACGACTGAGCCACCCAGGAGCCCCTTAAACTAAATTTTTGTTTTGATTTACATAAAATCAGATTGAGTTACCCTAGTGACAAGTTTATAATAGAAACAGCCTCGTCCAAGTGTAAGAACAAGTCTTTTTTTTTTTTTTTTTAGATTTTATTTATTTATTTTAGAGACAGAGAGAAAAGAGCATAGCATGGGGAGGCCTGGAGGGGGCGAGAGTGGAACGGGGAAAGAATCTCAAGCAGACTCCATGCTAAGTGTGGAGCCTGATGCAGGGGCTTGATCTCAGGACTCCCAGATCATGACATGAGCTGAAACCAAGAGTCAGATGCTTAACCAACTGAGCCACCCAGCTGCCCCAAGAAAAAGGCTTTTTTTTCTTTATTTCTCATTTTGTCTTCAGAAACCAATGCAATTTAACTAGTTTCTGTACTTTGAGAACTTAAAATTGACCTATGTTAGATAACTGGGAATTTTGGAATGGCTAAGTTTAAAATGGGTAAGTCACTTTTAGAATGAATGAAATGAATTGAGGATTGATCCCCTCAAATGAATGAGTTAATAATCTGTCATAATTTAAAGTTAGTTCACTGTTTTTCCCAGTGCCATTATTTTATGTGAAATTCTAATGAGGAATTCTATGAATAAGACATTAGATAGGGGGCGCCTGGGTGGCTCAGTTGGTTAAGCGACTGCCTTCGGCTCAGGTCATGATTCTGGAGTCCCGGGATCGAGTCCCGCATCGGGCTCCCTGCTCGGTGGGGAGCCTGCTTCTCCCTCTGACCCTCCCCCCTCTCATGTGCTCTCTGTCTCTCTCATTCCCTCTGTCTCAAATAAATAAATAAAATCTTAAAAAAAAAAGACATTAGATAGAAATAGAAATAGAAAGCTATTAAATAGAGCTCTAAACAGAGCAACTTCCATCAAACATCTTTTCATACCTTTCTGTCCCATGGTGTTAGGACCAATTACTTCCTTAAATGAGACAGTTTCTGGGCAGAGAATCCCAAGGCAGGACATTTAGATTCTGTGAAGGAAGACTACCTACTCCTTGACGAGTGGGTAAAACAGAATGCAATATAAGCCAAAACTAATGGCAGACAACAGAAAAATCAGAAAAGACACAACCGTTCTAAGCCCTGAGCTCTATGGCCACACACTTTGCAAGAACAGAAGGAAAATAGAAAACTTGGAAACTGGGAAGTTTCCCAGTGGATTAATTCCTCTTACAAAGGCACTTGTCAAAACTGCTATCTCTCTCTCTCTCTCTCTCTCTCTCACACACACACACACACACACACACACACACAAAAGATGGAGAGAGAGATGATGAAGTTGGAAATGGTTCTAACCATTAAAACAATAGCAACTGATACATTTTTTTAAGGCGTGGGAAACTTTCTGCTTTTTGGAGCTGAGTTGGTTTTTGTGTAAAAGTGGCTGTGTACCAAGTCTGTTTATATGATTCATTGTTGTCTGGGTTGTGTGTTGTTTTGCTATTTTTACTTTTTATATATAAAGGACTAAAAATAGGAGAGAATAAAGTAATAAATTGGTAGATATAATCTATATCATATAGATCTAAGTTCTCATTTCTGTTGTCTCAACATTCCATGTTTAATATAAACCTTTAAGACATATGTGCATATTTTTGTTTCAGGAATTATTTCTGCTTAAACAACAGTGTCAAATATTTATCTTTTAAAGACAGGAAGTTGGTTCAGTTTTAGCTATATATTGATATAATTCTACATTTTTTGAAAATGTTGAGGCTGGTTTTATTTAAGAGTGGCTGGGCTTACTGCCAGCTCTTGAGAAAACCTATAGATTTTTTTTAGAGTCTCCATAACAATTAGAACTGCTAACACTAAATACACTTTCCATCTGTTTGAAGACTCATTAACTTTATTTAATAACAGAAAAAAAAAAAAAAGACTATCCAAAACAGAGGTTGGGCCAAATCCCACTTGCTGCCTATTTTTTTGCAAATACAGTTTTATTGGAACACAGACACACCCATTCCATTCCTTTCCACATTGTATATGCCAGGTTTTGAGCTACAATGGCGAAGTTGAGTGATTGTGACAGACATCTTTCATCTGCAAAGCCCCAAATCGTTCCTGTCTGACATTTTACAGAGAGTTTGCATACCAGTGATCTAGAATGTTGGTTGGGACAAGAGATCTGTTATTCCTCATGTAGGGTAGGTGGGTAGGTGCCACCAATCACCCGTGACGCTCACCCTCCCCCCCCCCCCCCCGTGAGCGTCACTAGGATTAAACCAATCTGGTATGTATGGACCAATCTGTGAGCATCACTAAGATTTAAACATGTCTAGTAGATATGAGGATCAGGGAAGGGATGCAGCTGTTCTGTATGAAGTTTTTTGGGGGAAGTCTCTGGAAATATCTCACCAGGAGAAAAGATGGTCACTTGGCTCAGCTCCAGGGAAGTATGTCTGAGCCTTCAGTGTGAGAGCTATAGGCAGAAACTAAAGAAGCATGATCTTAAATCTTGGTGAGAAGCTGGGAGCTCAGACTGCACTGCTTTGAACACCTGCCAAAAGCATGAGGCAGAGCTGAAAGGTAGGAGCACTGACTGCCCTGCATTTCGCAACTCTGCACATCCTCCATCCTCCATGTGTCCTTAGCCCAGCTAAGGCAAGAGAGATTAAATCCAGCTGGATGGACTCTGTTGGTGAGCACTGCAGGCTGCTAGGATTTCAGCTTTTTCAAGCACCTACAGATTGAGCAGCAGACATCAGAGCACCTGTCTTGGGGCACTCTTGGCTTCAAGGAACAGACACTCAAGCAAGCTGAAGGCAATGGCTCTCAGTGTGGTCCCAGAACCAGCAGCATCAGCATCATCCCAGGGGGATTCTGATGCAAACTAAAGTTTGAGGGCAGTTTTAAAAAGATTTGTTTCAAGATTAAAATGAGGGATTTTATGAGCATCCTAGGTGAGAAAATCAGCAGATCACCTGGAATTAACAAGAACCGAGACTGCTCCTGATTTCTCACAGTCCTTGTCCATGCTCCTTGGCTCCTTCTCTCTCCCAGTGTGTGAAGTTCCCCAGCCACTCTTGGAAGATTAGCTTTCTTCTGCTCACTCATCAAGCCCTAAATGGCTGCCTCACCCTGACCTGACCACTGCTTTGTCCTTCAGGTAAAATCCTCCAAAAGAAAACACCTCAGTTTCTGCTCAGCAAAAATTGGGTTCTCTGGGGTCACATTGCACCTTCGGTCAGGCAGCAGAGGGCTCTGACCAAAGGGTTAGGGTGGAACGGGGGCGTGTGTTATTTG